CATCCTGTTCACCCTGTTTTAGCACAAAAGATCCCAAACTGTGAGAAATGAATCACAACAGCAAAAGTGAAAATTCATTCCAAAACATTCAGAAAATTACTGATAAAACCACTTCTGCTGCTTCTCTGAAGACAGCAGCTTTGATAGCCCAGGGAACTCTTCTGAAATTCATTCAGAAAGGACAGAATTCAGTCCAAGTCTCCTCTGCCCCAAGAAAGCATTCATTTCTGATAGGAGACACCACAATGACATCCTCCAGGAACAGGATCTTTCAAATAAAAATTCTCATTAAAAGTACTCACATTCAACCCGTATTTCCAATTTGTTTCAAGTGAACTAAAACAGCATAATTCAAGAATTTCCTACCAAAAAGCAAAACATCATCTGCACTACATTTTCACTTTAAAGATGATTTATAGCAACTTGATGTTAGTTGAAAACTTAGATGGCAACCTAATCAGACATCCAAAAAACTAGGTATCTAATTTACGTGGTCACCTAAACTCCCTTGCCAGCAAGTAGGAAAAGATGCTGTGAAAGAGCAACTCAGCCAGCTGCACTAAATGTAGCACAAATTTCCCGCTATCAGTTATCATAGGTAGAGGAAGCCTGAACTGCTAGTTTATACCAGATACAGTATTTTATAACATTTACACTAAAGCTTCCCTTACTAGAGGATAAATGTATTTAAAGATTGGGCTTGGTTTCTATTACCTAGGCAAATCTCAGACCAAAAGTCCTCTAAAGACCTGGACCAAAAATGTTCAGTCTCCCCAAGGCATTTTTATGTGGAAAGATCTGACAAGTGAATCTCACTTCTGCCAGATCCCTACAGCTCTGAGCAAAGGCTGATATTCGGTTGAGCTCTCAACCCAACCTAGTTAGATTTTTGGAGGGGAGGTAAGAACACATTAGACTCACGCTTCCAGCAGAGACCAGGCCAGTATTAAAGCCAAATCTCCAGTGAGGAAGATTTCTGAACCAAAGGCAGTTCTGAATGAGGAAGAACTCAAGATATAAATATTGGAAGGAAGACAAAGAGAATACCCAAGAGAAAATACATGTTTGCCATCTTTTATATTCTTCCCACAGTGCCCATTTTTGGCCACACGAGGCCAGATCAATCTTTGGAGCTGTCCAAAAAGACATCTCTTACCTTCTTAGGAGCAGCCCTCCTTGCCAACTGCTACTCTTATTTCCCAGTCTTGACTTCTGACCACTTTCTCCTTATTACCTTTTTTTTTTTTTTTTAAAAAAAAAAAAAAAAAAAAAAAACTTCATTTTTAACCTGATGTACCTCTAACCTGTTCTTTATCCATTCCAAAGCGATTCAGGAACACTGTTTTAAATCCACCTGCAGAGTTAAAGACAAATGCATGGCTACTTTATTCTGATAGTATTTTATTCAAAAGACCAAAATAATGATGTACGCTTTTTAAAAAACATATTTGTGCACATTACCTAGACTACAAACACACAGCAGGCAAGCAAACAGGCTGTGAATCATGCATTTTTTTCTATCTTTGCTCTAGGGAAGAAACCTCCCCAAGCAGAAGGAACATGGAAGATCAAAAATTTATTACCATTTCAGTAACAAAATTGCACAGGTTAGAGTACACAAGCCCTCCAAAATACCGACTATCAAAACTGGAGGGTAAGGGGACAGTACATACTTGGGGAAGGGAAAAAAATAAAGCAAGAATATGCCACCCAGTGTGCAAGACCTGAGGGAAGGGACAGAGGAAAAAGATTTCCAAAGTATTACCTCTTCTCCCTTACACAAAACTAACTCCCCACAGAAATTTCCAGGGATCTCACACATTTTCAAAAAGAAGGATTTTTCAGCCTTTTGTAAGCATCTTCCCTAACAGAAGAATGATCAACTGCAAATGAATGCTGGAAAAGCCAGAATCAGCCTATTTCAGATAGCAAGAGAACACCTACAGGACCAAACATGGAATCCAAAGTTATAGCTACTGTGGAAAAGTAGCTTCAAAATAGCAACCTGCTTAAATATGACTAAACTACTCAAACTACTTCAGACCAAATTCCTCCTACCCTGTCAAGAATGCATCTGATCAAAAATTAGGATTTATTTATTTATAAAGTAAATCTGTTGGACTTCTTTTGTCTTCAGGCCTCCAGCTGTGTTTTTATTACAGCATTACTCTCCCTCCTACATTCTTTGTAAGGAGTGGCTACACTCAGAGTTTAAACAGCCCTTCTGGAAAAAAAAAAATGTAAGTTTTAATGCTAGACTTATTCTAAATGCAGAATTATTCTCTTTCCTCCCTCTCTGGGGAATGTTCGGTAACAACCTGTATAGTACCTGGATAGTAACCATCTGTGTCATACTACTATTGCATATTAATACACTAAATTCTTCTTAATACAATGTTTGGATCTTGACCTCTGTGCACTCTTAAAAAGGAAACATCACTTTGTTTCCGAATAAGTATTTGACAGGCATAGGCTGCCACCTAGTGTTGTTAACTATCTATGAACCTGAAAACAAAGTGTTCCAGCAGAAGAAAGCAATGATCCCTTCACATTTTATATCTACACACAGCAGCGAGCTCATGGACCACTTGTGCCCCCTTGTGCTGATGGTAATGAGGAATGGAGAAAGAAGAGTCCGCATGTGATCTGATAACCTATAATCAGACAGATAAGATCCATGGTGCTCCTTGATCATCAGTTCTGCCTGAAATCCCTTCTTTCTTGCACAGACTCTACTCTTCACATAAAAGCAGCACTGCAGGATCAACGTACTCTATCCCTCAGCCACCTTTGGCAGGCAGCCACACTCCTCCCTTGCTCTGCCTGCTCCCTCAGTCATTACTGACACCATGTCAGGTCTCACATAGACCTAAATCTCAGAATTTTAAGACAAACACAAATCTGAGGGAGGCCTTTCTATAATGGATCTGTAACACAAAAATTGTTTTAAGTAGGAACACAGCAAGCAATTTTCAGATTTCTCCTTCTCCTCCAGCCAGCATGCTTTCTCTGGCAAATACAATATTTGCAATGCTCTAAATGGACTGAAGAGATAGTTTTCCTATTCTGTCAATTTGATCCCAGCAGCAGTTTATGCACCCATTTTATCTTCCAGTAACATGAAACTGGAACCCTCCTTATTTTTTCCAAAAAGTCAGCAGCGTTTCTGACCAAACTACAGTACTAGTTTTCATCGGCCCTTGTTGAGTTTTTCACATAGTACTTTGACATAAGGACTTCTCATCATTTTCCTCATTTTTAAAGGACTTAAATATTCTCAATCGTATCTTATTATCCTTGAAAAAGAACTAACTACAAATCTTTGCTGTTTATCAAAAAATCAGCTTCCAACCACGACGCTGATGTGCTATGACTGCTGCGCATCATATTGACAAATACAGTTTGTTTAGATATTTCTTTGTATTCCTGCAACAGTACCTGGCTCAAAGATCTTGGGGCCATGGAGCCATCATCAAATCTTGGAGTAGTGTTGCTGGCACTTTTGAATCCAATCACAGTAAAATGCTATTACAAGAATGCAATAGTGTATTTCCTTCATTCCAAAAGTATGAATTCTTCTTGCATGAAAAAAAAATTACACTCAAAGAAAAAAAATACATACAATACACACAAATAAAGCTTGGTTTTGGAGATGTTCACTAAGAAGCCAAAATTAAAAAGTTGCTTATAATGCTCCTGTTGCTTATTTCCCAAATGAAGTCTTCTGTGGCTCATTTTCAAAGTAGTCAACTGTTGTCTTGAAGACCTAATTTTGATAAAGTCTAATAAAGAGTTACATACTACACCAAAGCCAAGAAGCCCAATTCACCTCCAACATGCAGAACAAACATGATCTGTAAGCCACAGAGGGAGAAAATATGTGTTAGTAAGCATGCTGTACATGAAGAACTGACTTTTTTTTTTGAGATTACATTTTTTACATTAATATTTCTCCTTTGGTTATCCCCTTGTGATTTCTTGAGCTACTGATTTCCTTGCAGGAAATACTGTTATCACAATGCTAAAAAAAACACTTCCAGATTTGTCAGAAGCCACTGACTAGATGGTTAGACTTATCCACCAGTGTGAATACTCTTTCGTTTGCTCTCAGACCACAGGTTGTTGCATGAACAAAGCTTCTCCCTCCCACCACCTTTCTTAGAAACCCTAAGATACTCCACTACAGGAGGCCCTCCACCAAAACAAATTAAACTTTTTCTAAATCAAACTCTATATGAGAATGAATTTAAATCACAGACTCTGCAAGAAACCATCAACTGCTCCCGCAAGTTTTTGCTTTTTTCTCTTCCATTGAGCTCACTTCAACTGTCTGAAGTCTGAGATGATTAAGCACTATCCCTTTTTCACGATTAAGCACTATCCCTTTTTCACATACTTTTGCTTTTTCACCTAGATGGACAGAAAATAAAAAATAGCTCCTGTTAGACTCCTACTAAACTTTAAGACAAAGGTTATAACATTTTTCTAGATCTCTTTACATCAGTCCATCAAACAAGTAAACCAATCACATTCTGAATGAATAGATGAAGCCAACTGGCTTTTCTAGGGCATGTTAGAAAATGGTATACTTAAAAGATTTAAATTAATTTTGAAGTATTTCTTCTGGCCCCTGACAGCCTTTGACAAAAAGCATCTCCTTGTAGCGTTGTAAAGGGGCTTAAATTTGATGAGAGTAATTAAATGAGCATTCATTGATAAGCATCTAGTTCAATTACACATGAAAAAAATGAAGTTATACTGATAAAGATAGTTAAAGAAATAGAAAAGACTCAAGAAATTATGTCAGCAAGTCCAATAACTTTGAAAACTTAAATAAACAAGGTCTATTCAAAACACATTGCATTGTTGAGCATGGAAAGGAAAATAAAAACCTATTTACAAGATTTCTAGATTCTTCTCCCACAAGCCATATGAAGGAAAAAAAAAAAAAGAAGAGGAAAGATTCTTATATGAAAATAGTGTTTGAGAAGCTAACTTACCATATTTGTCTCGCAAACCAACCGTACACCTGAAGACTCCACCAAAGGCTACATCTTCACCAAATATTACTGAAAAATGATAAGAGTCGAAAGGACTAAAGTGAACCAAACATCACTTATTTTTAATCAAGATGTTTCGAAGGTTTTTATACATACGAAACACAGTAAACACAAATAGCATCTAACACAATTCATTTGACTTCAGAGTTTATCTGGATCTGAGTGCTTCAGTTGCATCAGCTAACTATAACAAAAGGACAATCACATTTAATAAAGAATCAGTACAGCAACGCAACTATGTCTCAAAACAAAACTAATTTAGCCATGGCTTCATTAAACCACCTATTTATTTTTCTGAAATACTCTGTATCACCACAATTTCTAACTAAACGCAATTTAAGAAACAATTATATGCAGTCACTTAAGAGTCATTGAGGCCAAACGATCCACTCTGAATACACAGACTGTCTATGTTTAATTTTTCCTAAAACAGTTTTACTATTAATTACACAAATATTGCACATTTCAACATTTTGAAGCATATAGGTTAGCAACTCTCATGAACTGTGTCAGTTCTGGTAATTATCAAATTCCTCAACACTCTCCCATAATCCAGAGGACATGAAACAGAGTTATATTCCATGCATAGAAACATTATTTTTGTTTAAAGGAAAAAACATCTCTAATAGGAATTAAAGGGGGTTAAATTCACTTTTGATAATTCACAGATTTATCATACTGTTTAAACAAAAAAAAAAACTTGTATAATGATGTAAAGCCAATACTCTCATCATGTTTATGATAGAAGCACATCTCCAGATCATCACCCTACTAATTCATTTTTATCATTAATTTGTTTGCATTTTTTAATACTTAAAGTCTTTGCAAGGCCTTTCCATTACCATATGACTAGTGATGTTTGAGCCAGCTGGCATAAAAAACATCCCCTTTCATGCTGCCATCAGCAAACTTCCATAGACTTACTCATTCTTTTCAGCCACTGAATATATTTTCCTGGACTGATTCTAAAATTCTCATCAACACAAGGATAAAGTTTTCCATTATTTAAACAAGTGTTGCTCAATTCCCATATGACTGAAAACATATGAAGGACATGCTTTCTGTTGCAAAAAGTACTAATGAATTCAGTAAGCAGGCTCATATTCACAAATCTGGACTTCAGAACTGTAACACAATCTTGCAAAGCATTTTGCACAGATCCTTTTGCCCTGCAAAACTAAGGACCAAGAGTGGAACCAAAATCACCTAAAATTCAGTTGCCACAGTAGGCATTTACATCTTAGATCCCATAATCCATTAATAATTTGTTAATAATAAATCTGTATACTTTTAATCCTAATAAAGCATTTTAGAGTTTCTTTGAACTCAATAAAAGTATAGAAAAAATATTAGACATTTAAAAGGCTACAGCAAACACACTTAATATTGTGCACAATGTACAGAGCAAGATGCCGGCCAATAGTAGGATACCTGCAGTGGGATCTTTGGCTAAAGTGTTATCCAAGGCACTCGTTATTGACTGGAAGAGATTCATCTTCTGAGTTTGCCCTGCATGAAAGGGCAAACAAAGGTCAATACATCAGAAAACACTGGAACAAAACATACTATTAAGAAATTAGCTAGCAGCTAAATCTCCATTAAGAGTCTCTCAATGACTCACTTGATTGGTACCTTTCAGTTATGGGAAAGAAGAACAATATACTTTGTAATTTCAAGGACTATAGTTCTGTTCAACACTCAGACTTTCTTCAAAAACTATGCTCAAGGCTGCAGCAAATATAGCAGCTCTGTGAACTGCAGTTTGAATGTGGCACAAGTATCAAACCCGCATTCCAAACAACAAGGAAACAGACTGGATGCTGAACAGCTCCCTACAAAGGATAAAGTAAATGCATTAGACTACTGCGGAAAATAAAATCTCCAAAACCAAAAACAACTACCTGTGCCCCCTTCTTCGCCTCCAGTGCTGCAAGGCAAGAAAGTGGGCCTAAAAATCAAAGATTGGAGAGAGCAATAGCTCTGTCACTGCTGTTGTAACCAACCCTTATTCTACAGGCAAATAAAACATTGCCTCATAAGAACCTGCCCAAACAAGAGATACCTGGCTGATATTTGGTAGCAATTATTCAATTGACAAAAAGTGTGTTCAGATCACGACTGAGCACAGCCCAAGGAACATTAAATAATTTTTGACAAGAGCTATGCAGGCCAGTAGGCATTTTGGTGAAAATCTTAGACAAAGGTGAGAGCAGGTTTGGGAACCAGAGAACAACATGTGCTCACCAGCAGTTAGAGCATCTCTCAGTGCTCCTCCACTCTCCCTAAACAGCGAATTAACACCAATGCATTTTGTTAGACCCACGTCATGCTGCTGCACCAGAGCTGGGCAGCTGAACTGCAGTGCTCAGGAGCTTCCTTTGTTTAATTTTTTGTGACCTTTTAAAAGAAGGATGCTACAAATGGAACTGTCACAAGAACTGTTCACATCATATGAAAGCTGCAAATAATCAGCATTTACAAATTCAGTGGAGGGGAAGCAGAACAGCCCATGTTTACCCAGTCACCCACTTAAGAATTCGGGTCAACATTTCAACAAGATGTGTCCAGTATTTGATACGAATAAGCGCCCAACACTACAGCAACTGCTGGAAACTCTTTAACACCATCCTGATTTGCTGCAGGAATCGGTATCAGGCCCTGCAGGAAAACTAATTGCAACCTTCAGATTTGAACTGTGGAGCTGGAGACGCAGCGTCTGAACAGCACCAACATCAATACTGGCTCTTCAGTACTTTACTCTCACAGAACTTCAAAGCACATTGTAAATAAAGGGAACTGACAGTCTGTTAACAGGGGCAAAGTCAGGCCTGTTCCACACGGGCTTCTTCACGATAACCCCAGGCAGGATCTGCAGCACTCCGGCTTTGCCCTGCAACCTCCAGAGAAGCTTCTTGTCAGCCTGTGTTCTAATGACCAAAACTGCCCAGAGCTGCCCGCGACTTCATCTCCAAGGTGCCGAGTCGGGGCTCTCTGTGCGGAACACGGGGATTCACCGGGCAGCAAAGGCCTCGCTCCGCACAGAGGGTCACTCGCCCCGGTCACCTCCACGGAGAAGCCTCGGAAATCAGGCCAGGGCAGTGACTGTCACCCTCGCTCCTTCCCAGGCCGCCAGTGCGCGCCCAGACCCGGTGCTCTGAGCCCGACCGGGGAGCACCTTTATTGACACGGGCCCTCACCGAGCGCGGCCGCGCCGCGGCGGGCCGGGGAAGGGGCCCGCGCAGGCGGCGGCACCGACGCGTCGCTACCGCCCCGGCCGCCC